ATATATAGCAGGCGTTACTAAAAAGATTTCCAAAATTGTAAACAAACACAAGATCCAGGTCCGGTTCAATACAGTACACAAAATTCGTGATCTGATCCCATCCGTGAAGGATGTCATTCCTGATTTACAGGAATGACAGATTTACAGTCTCGTCCCTTCACCTGATGAAGGCCGCTTGTGTTGTGGCCGAAACGTCGTGATTTTTTGTTATTTTATTTTCACCTACGTGACTTTACCCAATAGAACCAAAGAGTATGGATCCTAGCAGTCACGAAAGCTTTAAATCTAGAATTATGAGACCTATAGGAATAGGTTTTACCCTTTGAACTGGCACAAAAACTGACACCTTTATTCAAGGCATCATGTTTGCAATGACCACAACACAAGCAGTCAAAATGCAAAAAAAAAGACAACTCTGAAAATAATATGCACTGTCCTTGAATTTGATTGGTCCACACCCGAGACAGCTTTTCTTAGAGCCTAGTCTCCATTGGTGTTGGACCAGAAGACGCCAAAAGGCGTACAACTCAAAAACAGTGTACTATTAGAGTATTGAGGGCTCGGGGTGAGCATTTACATTATGAGACCTCCTTTGCCAGAAACAAGATATAGGAATAGGTTTAACCCTTTGAACTGGCACAAAAACTGACACCTTTATTCAAGGCATCATGTTTGCAATGACCACAACACAAACAGTCAAAATGTTTCTTTTTTGTTTGCATTTTGACTGCTTTTGTTGTGGTCATTGCAAACATGATGCCTTGAATAAAGGTGTCAGTTTTTGTGCCAGTTCAAAAGGTCAAACCTATTCCTATGTCTTGTTTCTGGCAAAGGAGGTCTCATAATGTTAATGCTCACCCCGAGCCCTCAATACTCTGATAGTGCGCTGTTTTTGAGTTGTACGCCTTTTGGCGTCTTCTGGTCCAACACCAATGGAGACTAGGCTCTAAGAAAAGCTGTCTCGGGTGTGGACCAATCAAATTCAAGGACAGTGCATATTATTATCAGAGTTGTCTTTTTTGTTTGCATTTTGACTGCTTGTGTTGTGGTCATTGCAAACATGATGCCTTGAATAAAGGTGTCAGTTTTTGTGCCAGTTCAAAGGGTAAAACCTATTCCTATATCTTGTTTCTGGCAAAGGAGGTCTCATAATATGAGACCTATGTTTGTATAATTCCAGTGAGCTGCTTTGTGTATACGTAGTAAGTTAATCTCAAACCACCCATTTACGTACGTTGACATATTTTGCTGTCATGGCATATGCATTCATCTGTCTTGGCCCATATTTTGATAGTACATCACAGCAGTTGTGTTTTTTTTAATCTGCTGCACTGCTACTTAATGTAACATTTTAACGCGATACGTAATTATTATCTGAAGTATGGCTTATGCATATGGATGTGGTGTTTTTATGATCTAGATATAATCTGAAGTAATTTCGATTGCTATAGCTCGGTGTGAGGATTTTTGTCTCTCCAACAATTCATATTTTTAGGATGAATGTGTCAGTGGAACACCCGACTCACAATCAGGTCGTATTTGAAGATCTACCCAACAAAATGAGTACCACTTTATAGGTCAAACAAACAATCGTCTGCTGAGCTTTATGAAAACATAAATAATATTACAGTACATAAAATGTATGAATAATTATCCATGCCACTGGCAACAGCGTGGCACAGTGGAGACGCTTGTGCCTCCACAACAAGATTGGCCTGGATGTGATTCTTTATTCTGGCGCCTTTCTGCATCGAGCTTGTATTTTATACATCTGTGTCCTCTGGGTTCTCCGGTCTCCTCTCATAGCTATGAATCTAAATGTTACGTAACTGGCATCGGCCAAACATCCCGATGCTAAACATTACCTGAAAATAATGTGGGATAGATAGCACGTAGCAACCGTGCCCCGTATTGGGAAAATGTGGGCAGGGCTTCTCGTGAAATAAAGTTTTGAGACTAATTTAGGCTGTAATTCCTGGGTAAACAAGCCCAATAACAATAATAACATAGAATGTTTGCCTTTGGCTTAGACTCACCAATGGAAAAAAGCACTTTCTAGCGACACGTATTAACACTTATCGATTACATATTTAATAAGACTGTTTTTTTTCTATCCACTTGACAATGTGTGGCTTTGGGCCTGTTTTCAGCAAGCGATTGAAAAAAACCCCAATAACACAACTACGAGTGGTGTATAGTAACCAGGTTCCAGTGTGTGCTATTCATTCTTTTCTCCATTCACGAATTACATCTAAATTGAGCTATCAGTCGTTGTGGCACATAGAGAATCAATTTCCTCTCTGGATCTCTCCACAACCTGCGAGCTGCGTTTCACTGTGGGGAATGACCTGGAAGTGTTACCACACCCATTAACCAGATAACTTTCAATGGTGTCCATTACATGACCTCTATTACCACAGCCTCTAAACTGCACTCCTTTAGCTGTTTCTGTTGAGTACGGCACTTCACAACGTTCCAATCTTCAGAAGAAAAAACAAATCCCCCTGAACTGGGAAAAAAACTGAAGTAGAACACCACATTTATGCGGCATTTTTTTCTGTGTGTGTGTGTGCAGCCATTGATGGTCAACCTGCTGAGAACATTAAGTTGCCTCACGTGCAAACCTGTTTTTAATTCTTGTGCGGTGGCTCAAATTCAAACCAGGATCTCGCTGGTACTAGCTTAGTTATTCTGTCATGGGCATAGCGTTCGTCCCATAAGCCACCAGGCCAAACCCCCGGGAATTCACATTGAACGTTTTGAACACGTTTTAATTTCATCTCCGTGTATATATTGCAGGGATAATCTGGGCTGAGCTAGCTCTGACGTGCCAGAGGAGGTAAGTATTTTTTTTTGGGTCTGGCCAAATCATGATGTCATGATGGAAAAAGTGAAAAGAAAGTTGAATGCTTAGACAAAAGACGACGGTGTCTGAGAGGCATCATCAATTAGGGCTCCATCAAACGCACTTTGCGAGTCAAAGCATTCTTGTAGGAATTACTCATCGTGAGCAAATTTGTGGTTATTACTCAATATCACAAAAGGGAAAAAAGTACGTTGGCATTCATCATAGATTTGTAGGATTGAATGGAAACGTTTTACAATGCATGGCATTGCCGTATGACCACAGATTGTCTCGGGGTATATGACGGTCTTTATTATTGTTATTATTAACTTTCCTACCCTTGTATTCATACGAGAGAGAGAGAAAAAAACCCCCATAATATTCTAGGGATGTATTTTAAAGATGTTGTGGTTCTCTCTAGGGAGCAGTGAGGTAATTTTCTATTTCAGAACGATGGTCTCATGTAAAATGGTGGGATGGGGGCTTCAAATCCAAATATAAAATTTTAACACAATTCTTTTTTAGTCACCTAATTGCTCCTCTGCAATGGATCCAAATGCATTGCTAACCCAGCAACCTGAGGTTCTGATGCCCACCCACAGCTGAAACTGGGCAAAAAGTGACTTCTGAACTAGCCCTGAGCACACGTAAGTCGAGTCAGCATTTCATGAGTAGGTCAATTATCAGCGCTGGGGTTACAACAGCAGCCACATTGCGTGGTACTGACCACACCATCGCCTTTTTGTGCACTGTGCAAGCCTTAATCGGTGCTCGCAAAGAGCACTTGTCCTAACTGTCTGCTGTAAGCTCCACGGGGGAATCTTTGTACAAGCAACTCAAAGTGCTGCGGATAATGAAACACATGCAGTGCGCGCTGACCTGTAGTTATGACCCAATGAGACAAGACGTCTCGTGCGGAACCGGTAAAAGCACGCGGCATAAGCTGTCATTGAAAAATAAGTTAACTGCCCAATCAAGCCACAATGTCACCGTGCTCTCAGGAGCACGAGGCGTGGTGGTGCTCTATGTTGGAGTGGCAGCCAAGGGAGGGAATGCGCCGCAGGAGATCTTTGTTCAGACTGGAGGAATCCGATGTGCTATGAAGCTCTTTTATAACAGATGTGCAGATGGTGCAACGGGTCCGGGGACAGCCCGATATCGCAGACGTCGTGTTGGCTGTTCGTGTAATTGGGCTTTGGCAGGGCACATCTTAGATGGGGTGATTATGCCAGCTGTGTAAATTTTACATTATGTTCGGAGGGACACTGTCCATAGACAATAATGAGTACAATACCATACACGTATACATCTACATATTCATCTCTGCTCTTGTTGAAGTTATATACATGGCATGGAGGCTTAAAGGTATATTTGTTTTTAACTGCCAAACAATTGTATTCCAATGTGCTATTTATAAAAGTATGCTTACGAAGGGCAAGGCCCAGAGAGCGAAAATGTCAAGCAGCCAGCGACAAGTGGCACCATTGGTGTAACAGATACGCTATTGGCATTACGTCATGAGATGAAAAGGATTTATCACAGCTAAGTAGTGCAGCTGCTTGTCTCAGAGAAGGTTCCCAGAGGATGATGTCACAAAGCGGCTACTGAAGTTATATATCGATGTTCCACTATACACACTCGGGGGGCAGGTGTGTTACAGTGGTTAGCACACTGCGCTATGAATCCGTGGTTAAGTTATTTTTATTTTATCATACGTCATCGGAAAGGAATGGGAAGAAAAACTGATGATGTTCACGTACATAAACGTACATCATCGGAATGGGAAAGGGTTAATAAGGACCGTTGCATCCAACCAGATGTCTAACCTCGGGTAACAGCGGTGCTGTTGGTCATGTCTTCTTCTTCTTCTTGTTCTTCTTGTTCTTCTTGTTCTTCTTCTTCTTCTTCTGCCATTTTTAGGGATTGCAATGGATTACAAATTATTGTCGAGATTTGATATCCATTCCACTGCTTCAGGAGAATCTGTGAATATTTTGAATATTTAGATGTTTTTATATTGGCGGGACCCCGGGGTCTCGCAAAAATCAGGTCAATAATTATTAAATTTCAGTCCGCCCACTCGTGATCCCGCAAGGGCACCGGACGAACCCCGCCAGGGCTGCTGTACATTCTTGCGTGCGGCCCCCGTTCAGCAATGGCGTCCGAGAAACGCCACCTCATTGGCCACGAGGAAGAGCTCAACGCCGAGATGCACAAGCTCGCCAGGTGGACGCCGACGGGTGCAGGTGCATCACCGCCTGTCGCAGCTCCGTCTGCGGGGGGGTCAAGCGAGCCTCTGCCGCGGTCGACCGCGCTGTCCGTATCGACGACGATGTCAGCTGCAAACGTCATTCGCAAGACGGGCGGAGCTGGAGGCTCCCAACAAAACGTCGTGCAGCGCAATGTCCGCCCGTCGTGCGATCGGGGGGCGAAAGCCGCTGCCCGCGCCGAGGCGAAGCTCGGCGCTGCTGCGATCGTCAAGATCCGTCAAGACTGGGATGCGATGGAGACGGGGCGTGCTGGATCGGAGTGGCAGCAGTCGGAGGGAATCATTCTCAACCTGGTCCAGATGCAGCTGTCAGAGCGCGAGATCCGCACGATTCTCCCTGTCGGCGGCTCTCGCCTAGCCCGCTTGCGCAAAGTCGCCGCGGATGGGTTTGATAGCCTGCACACGCGACGCGCTCCCACCACTCCCGCTCATGCACTTACCGACGCCGATCTGACGGCCCTCAGGAATGACGTTGCTTCGTGGGAGGTTGAAGATGGGTTTGCCTGCGGCCACCTTCTAGATTCGACAATCACGTGGACGAAGCTGCATAGCCGCTACAAAGCCAAGATGGAGGAGCAAGACGCTCGCGTGATTTCGTTCTCGAGGTGGACTCGGTACGTCCACCAGCTGTACGCTGGCTTGCGCCTCGCTCGCTCTGCCGAGGACGTCTGCGACTGCTGCGTCCGCATCGGGATTGCACTCGCTTCCGATGACATTGCCGACGACGAGCGCGAACGCCTCGGAGCGGAGCTCGAGATGCACCTGCACGATGCCACAGCTCAGCGCCGAGCTGTGTCGAGCTTCGTCAAGGATTGCGTCGCGCGGCATGCCCCCGGTCAACGTGTTCCATGCAGCATCATCATCCCGGACACTGTCGACGGCGCCGTCGACGACGACGATCGAGCGTCCGACGGGGCCTCTGACGGCGACTGCAGCTCCAGCAGGCCGCCGATTCAAATCCAAATTGAGGATTTTTGGCGGCAGCTTTTCTATGCCGCACTACGGCCACGAGCGTCCGTCCCCCGACTACTTCAACTCGAACCCGATGATGCAGAACTTTATCACCGCCGACGTGACGAGAGGCATCGACCACGTCGTTCTTTACGAGGAGCGCGCCCAAGACAAGGAAGCTGAAGCAATGTGCAGCCTGCGCTTCCAGTACCACCACAACCTGTTGATCAAGCGCGGCGCCGCGATGCCGCAGACGCTCCTCGTCGTCCTCCACAACTGCGTCGGGCAGAACAAGTCGCACATCGTAATGCAGTTCTTTGCGACGCTGTCGATTCTGTTCTATCGTAAGGTCGTCCTCGTCGAACTCCTTCCTGGCCACTCACACAATGAAGCTGATCGCGTCGTCGCCTGGTGCCGGAACAAGATGAAGGGCAAGAGCTTCTTCACCCCCTAGCAGCTCGCCAGCGACCTCAACGACATCATCAGCGTCTGTGTCGACTTTGTCGATCACAACGACGCGCGGCGTCCTTTCTACGTCAGATGGGACGCCGTTCTCTCGAAGTATTTCAAGCGCCTGCCGGCCAGTTACATGTTCAATTACTTTTTCGAAATCGACGAGGGCATCACCGCGAAGCGCTGGCTTTGCTCGACCGCCGATGAGGACGCCATTGCTGCCCGCACGGTCAATAGCGCGAACATCAACAACATGATCCGCAAGGCGCTCCTCGGTGATCTCTTCGGCCCCAGCGTCACGTTGATCCACCAAGCCGCGCACACAAAGCTTCCCGTCGTGCTGCAGACGGCGCCTGTCGGCACCATCACCACGAAGAAGCGCAAGTCGCTCGCCAAGAAGTACTTTTCGATCCCCGCCGATTGCCTCGACTACTATCCAGCCATCCCGCCCAATCTCGTCGCCGAGTTGGACGACGGCAGCAACGTGCCGCCCGCCCAGACTCGCGCCAACAAGCGCCAGCAGGCGGCGATCAAAACGATGGGCGCCACCTCACCAGCCAAACGCAAGCCCGGGCGTCCGCCGCAGTCGCGCGCGGCGACAACTCCCTCCGGTCAGCCATCGATCCTCAGCTTCTTTGCCAAGGCGAGCCCGCCCCCGCAGTGAATATAACGTGTTTATGTAATTTTTCAACTTTTTACGAAACTTAGTGCCCCGAGTAGCTCTCGACGAGGCCAATAGATTGACCGCTAGTTTTGTTGTCGGTAGGGCAAGACTCGTGTCGCTACGCGGTTTTTCCCACCCCGGGGCAGTGATGGGACCCCGGGGTCCCGCCAATTGCTTCATATGTTGCACGGTCTGAGAAATCACACCACAGTCACAAACTGGACAGAGAAAGTGTTCACATCTTCCGATTCAAGGAGGACCAGATCTTTCTCGGTAGGTCAGATCCGGGTTGGAGGATTCTGGGGTCATACACTCTGATCTGTGAACCACGTGCTGAACCATCGCCGCGCCTGCATGTGGCGCAATGACTTCATCCTCAGTGCCACAACGCCAATCCGGCAGAGGATGTCAGCGACCATAAAATGGCCGTTAATTTATATCCAAGGTGTATGAAGTCCTCAACACCCTCTAGTGTTGGTGTCCACACCAATGCTTGGCTCAAGGGGGACTCAGCTGCGATGTTCCACACCTCTGTCTTCTGCCAGGATATGTTAAGGCCAATTTCCGTATGCGCCACATCGTTAATTTGCTGGAAAGCAGTCTGCTAGTCACTGGGGGTGGCATGCACGAACAAAGCAGCACCACCTGCATAGTCTAGGTCGGAGAAAACTGGTCATTGACCTTTGACTCCAAGGGTGGGAGATGCCAACTTCATGAGCCGGTCAGTTGCATGACAGAAAGTTGCAGGAGTGACAATGCAGCCGTGCCAAAAAAAACGTAAGTGGTACTGAAGCCCGGTGATAAGCTGGAGCCGATGTGACCTCGAACTTCTGTGCTGCTGTGCAGGTAAAAATCAGGTCCAGAAGGAGGCATGGGTGCCTACCTCCCCCCCCCCCCACACACTTTAGTGCCAGAAAGATTGCCGCTCTATCTACACAATCGAATGAGCTATTAAACTCACCGTGTAACTGGGAAAGCAGGCATAGGGCCTGAGCACCGCATCCATTGTCAAGCGGACAGCAGTGATTCCCGATTGCTGTGGTCGGCGGTGTTGGGAGAGAAGTGGAGTGAGCCTGCCTTGCAGCACGTGAGCAAAGACTTTCCCAGGCACAGGGAGAAAGGGAGAGAGGGTGGAAAATATCGCATTCAGCGCGAGGACCTTTGCCCTTGTACAAGGACACAATGATGTCATCGTTCCACTCCGATGGTACCTTTTCTGCCTTCCAGACCCGCAGGAGGAGTGGATTAAGAGCAATATTCACAGCATGAACGATGCATTTAAGCCAATCAGGAAGTCATTCATCCAACTCTGCAGCTCCACTGTTGTGGAGCTTCCGGTTGACCTGTTCAACCTGTTCAGGGTATGTGGGTCAGTCTTCGTGACAATGCCTGTTATCTCGTAGATGACCATATCCTGCAGCTCCTTGCAAGGTTGAGGGTAAGCTTAGAATATTCCTATCGTTCCAAAATCTCATCAGTCGAGCTGCAGGGGGAGCCATCTGCCTTAATGATTGGGGTAGTAGATGATTTATCGAGTCCATTCTGCAGACAATAGATTTGCTTTGAAAGGAGGAGTGCACCTTATTGTAATGTAAGCCCTCTTCAGCTTCGTTGATCGAGAAATACATTTTTCAACCTTCGAAATTCTGCTCCATTTCCCTGATAACAAGCACCAGCTCAAGGCCCAAGGATATGAACAGTAACATCTGACAACCGAGGTTTCCTCTTCTGTAGTCTGAAACCAACTTCATAATTGGCAGCAAGCCTAATCACATCCTTGTTGACGATCCAAGCTGCTCTGATGACGTCTGGGTGAACACTATGAACACCTGAGCGCTTCTCAACTGCCGAGACAAATATCTGTATCGCCACTTCTTTCAAATGTTTCTTGCCGTTGGTTTTCACACCTGATGATGACTGTTTGTGTTACAGTCGAAACGTCGTGAGAATTTTATTGTTTTAAAATATATTTTATTATTTTATTGTTTCCCTTCAACGTGACTTTACCGAAAGAACCAAGAAGATCCGGCCAGCGGGGAAGAGGAGGCCAATATTCTCTGCGGGTGGGCTCTGTAGAACTCCCTTTAGTGGAGGTCCTTCCACTAACAGTGGTGTGGGTAAGTCGTTGCAGAGCTGCACCTTTAACTTTTCGCGGAATTCTATTTATATAATGCATAGAACTACAGTATATAAAATCATAATAATGCATTGTATATGTATGGAGCGTAGTATAGAGAGCAATTGTAACGGATAGAATGCAACTCAAATGCATTGAAAGTTTCCGTTAACAAGCAGCGCATTCCTTGTTTGCCAAGTCATGCTTACCCTGCAGGCGTCAGTGTGCAACTGGACGTATGATTGAACTTGGCTTTTAATTCACATCAATTAAACAATCCTCGCATTCCTTACTTGCCACCCACCACATTCCAGCCAAATTAGTAACGCGTTGTACATTTGCCAATTCTGGTTTAATAATAGCGCTTTTATTTGCGCGTTAACCGCTCCTCCAGTTAACGTTATTGAGCACGGGTCACGCATTCTCCTTGCAGGAATATCTGATGTTAGCGTTGGCTCCAGCTCCCGTGCACGGGACAATGGTGTTTATTATTCTAAGCTACCACTGCCACTCATATCTTTCTTGGCCATAGCCGAGTGGAGCATTGTGTATCACCCTGCCTGGAATGCTGCTGAGATTACAGTTTAAGAAACCCGATTGACAGGAAAGAGATTCAAGGGTTCCGTTTCTAACCAACATGGCACGAGCGGCATCCCAAGAAGGCGGGAGTATGTGACAAAGCTGAGGATGAAGCTTGCGGTTCATTACAAATTCTTCCCCATCGTCGGTCAGGGTCGTAGAGAAAAAGGCTGAATGCCGTCTGTTCACAAAGGCTGCGGCGGCATGGCCGGGGCTTAAGTCTAGTGGTGGCGTGATAATGAATCATAATCCAGATCTTTATTTATACCTGAAGAAATGCGATGAGCTTTGTCGCTCTTTTTCACAGCTGTCCAACAGGGGTGGGTCGGAAAGTTACAGCAACAACAACAAGCAATACAACAACACGACAGGAGTGCAGAGTATAGGAAGGTTAGCAAATCACAAAAAAAACATACAATAAAACTATTTGTTTTATTTTACGAGGTAAAGCCCACTGATCTCTTAGGCATTTTTCAGAAGGGACCTGGTCACAAATGATACCTCAACGAAGTGGCTTATCACGTGGAAATGTATAGCAGCCACGGACTCTAAACACATGTTGATTCCAAATGTCGAAGAGAAACTGGAGGACCCTGAGAAAAATCCACATGACCACAGGGAGGGAGACATGAAACTCCAAATACACAGGTGTCATGATCAGGATCGAACCTATGAACTCAAGCACACCGCGGGAGGAAGATTGCATGATGCCACCGTGGCGACCTTTAAATAATAAAAAAATGAATAAAGTATATACATTCAAATTTCATAAGTACATAAATACTGTAAAGGGATGTAAATATTAACGGTTTGGTATTCAACAGAGATAATATGTTTTAAATATGTGTTGCGCATATTACGGTTAATACAAAAAAGGCTAAAACTTTTGGTCAAGGAAGCTTCTGAAGGATATTAAGCCAAATGTTGGCCCTATTTTGTACCCAAGCCAAAATGCAGCGTTTACCAGCTCATGTACTCCCTCGCCCACATTGGTGCACTTTTCAACATTGACAAATTAACATTGCACATATCATGCATATCCCAGCCCAGCCTGCCTAACTGAATGTAAGACGTAACCCTAAAAACAAGCGGCTCTTATCTCAAAGCAATGTAGCTATGCTGTGTCCCTGGACTGTTCCACGTGGGTTTGAAGCTTCGTTATTGAGGACATACTTTGCAATCTCCAGTGATTTAGTGACGTCAGTGCATCGATTAGTTAATTTCTATATGGGAGTGATGTGGCAATGTGGTTCAGGGGCTCAATGCCAATGTCGAGGTCTGCTAACCACGAGATGGCATCAGGAGAGAGTGTTCATGTAGTTTTTAAATTCCTCCTCCATTGAAGGAGCACATCACTACAGTGGGGTTAACCTCGTGGTCCACAGTTTGGGTTGAATGGCCACAATCGCACTAACGTGGCTTGCGTCTTTAATTTTCCATTAATGAATAAAATGGTGCACATCGGCATGTTAATGTTGTGATGCGGTTGATGGTTCCACCGGTGTCTTCGAGGAATGCCAGAGCCTGGGCGCGAGATGCTCTTTTGGGTCTCGAATGAGGTGTTTATTCTGGACGCGCGCGTTGTTCCACTCCGTTTGCCAGCATTTTTGCGCATCTCGGTGAGAGCACGGACCCACGAATGGGGGGATCTGGGACTTGAGTAGGCAGTGAGGTGCATTTTTGAGGTCGAGGTCGA